TAGTGTATATATTGTTTTACTGCATGTATGCGGATAAAGTTGGATATAATATATACAGTGGGTACGGAAAGTATTCAGACCCCCTTCAATTTTTCACTCTTTGTTATATTGCAGCCATTTGCTAAAATCATTTAAGTTAATTTTTTTTCCTCATTAATGTACACACAGCACCCCATATTGACAGAAAAACACAGAATCGTTGACATTTTTGCAGATTTATTAAAAAAGAAAAACTGAAATATCACATGGTCCTAAGTATTCAAAAGAGTGAAAAATTGAAGGGGGGGGGGGGCTGAATACTTTCCGTACCCACTGTATATCAAACTATTCAGCTAATATATACCAAACTTAATGTATTACTTGGCGATAATAAAGCTTACTTTTTTTTGACGATATCCTTCTTATTTTGCAACATGGAAGTAAGCTGTTTTCTGTGAATGTTTGAAACTTGTAATTAGCTACAATTGCGCTACAATCCATTGTGTTTGAGTACATTAAAATAACATAAGAAATACCAATTTGCAATATCGAGCAGCATAACCTGCTGTTTTGTACAGCTAAAAATAACTAAAAGCGGATGCCTCGCACATTCAGGTTACAAATGGCCGCTCCCACTCTTGTGTTAAAAAGAAGGTAGATAACAATCAAGTAGTTGAGAATTCCTGTACTGTACATATACTGAAAAATGTAACTTTCTTGGGTGTGTTTCTTTTAATGTCTTAAGTTATTTTATGTTGTGAGGACCCCAAGCATTTTTGAAGGTGGCATAATCTACAGGAATCCCTAAAACATTCTTTGTGCAGGTTGACCCCATGTTCCAGCGCATGGCTGCTTCCTTCGATGAGAATAGTACAGCAGGAGTGTTCCTCTCCGTGCTGTTCAGTGAAGACAGTCGCTGTGAGCTGCGCTTTCCTTCACATATGACCTTGCTGAAGTCACAGCCGCCACCTGTGCAGGTGCCCCATCAACATGTTCCTGCCTCACCGTTTATAGGTAAATCAGCTTTGCACATCACACTCTGTTCAAAGTCATGGGACAGTTTACTTTTGGGTTTACTAAGTAATATTCTGTATTCATAGCCTAAATGTTTCTGCACGTGTTGTGAGCTACAACCACACTGAGTTGTTTGACAACATGAGGGAATGGAATCGTGCCTTTTTGATTCTTCCAGGTCATCTAAAGACACTAGAGGACAGGCCAATTTGTCCATCCTTAAAGGATTTCTCCTTTACTAGATGGACTCCTGAGCAGGTGAAACCCTTTTGAATCTTTTATTTATTTATTTTTTGATACTGAGGCTTTTTTCTTTCAGAATTCTTTGAAATTCAAAAGAACAGCGTTTTTTTTTTAGAAATCTTTTGTAACATTATAATTGTCTTTACTCTCACTTTCAAATTCTTAAAGTAGTGTAAGTGTGATATCAAGTGTTTTATATTGATGTGATTCTCTCTTTCATATTGTTAATATAGACCACAAACCTCAACCAGCTGCTTGAGAAGATGAAGCAGGGAGAGCATGCATTCGATGTCAATGCAGACATTGAGCCGGATGAGGGTCCAGATTTTGGGGATAATTTTGATGCAGATGTAGAAGTGGAAGAGGGCAGACAGGGAGACTGTGAGGAGTTTAAGGAACACAGAGAAACTTATTCAAAGAGCCCTCAGAAAGGGTTAGTACTTACGTGTTTTGCACCAAAGTGTTTGCTAATTTTTGCATTGCAAACAGACGGTTTCACACTCTGTTCACAATGAGTGAATAGTTGCGGCTCAATATTGTACATTTTCACTTATTTAGACATCATTCCGAAGACTGTCAAACCTAAGCTTGACCTGACCTTAGCTGCTACATTGTCATGTAGTATTTTATATCTCTGACTATTCAGAATAACCCATTTATTTGCATCAGAATTTCCTCTGTGCTGTTTTATGTCATGTCTATTCACTGTGAGGTGTATTTGTGCTATTAACAGAGGCGTTATTCCTATTGGCAAGGTGGATATTGCCACTATGTGTCAGCAGTTGTCTGATCAGCCCAGAGAGTATTCGTACTTCAGTCCCAGGACCATGGCCACCTGGGTCGGGCCTGGTTACTGGCTCTTCAAACCTGGACATCGGCGTAAGTCATAGATTAGCCTATGAGTGTATAAATCCTAGTGTTGATTTTATCACTTTCTTAATTTCTTGCTTTCTTTGTGCCATTTTTGACCCAATTTCTAATTTATCCTATCTAGAGGATCACAAACCAGACAAAGAACCTCGGAAGCGAGCACCAAAGAATCCTCTCGTAATTGACTTTAAAGGAGATATCAACTTTCATAATTACTTTCGGACAACTAGAGTACGTTTGCATTTGCTAATTCTCATATTATGTATTTTCATGACTTCCCTAATAGACAAAAGCTTTATAACAGCGATTCATACAATACTATTTAATCCCTCTAGCAAAAACTGTTAAAGCTTTTAAAAGTAAGCAGCAGATTACTTGGCGACAAACTGACAATGATATGCTTGTTATTTCCAGGCAGCTACCACTATTAGTAAATCAGCTTTGAACAGCAGCAATAAGAAAACCACGCTTCCAGCAGACTTCCAATATCCACCCAGTAATCTGTCACAGCTCAGCCTCAAACCCTCCAACACAGTAAGTTCATGAATGTTTAATATTCCTGTCTGCATTGCTGTGTACACTTCAGAATATCAGTTGTGGCAAATCTAAAACAACATTAGAAGAATGCTGCACAGGAGATTGACTGCCAGATTGGTTCATTTTATTCATCTTTCAAATATAGCTATAATTATTTTCTTACTCCAGCTCAGTGCAGAAGGAAAGAAGAGATTATCGGGAGAGCTGGGTGAGGACATAGGAGAGTATGATTACAACAACGCCAATGACACCGCCAACTTCTGTCCTGGTCTTCAGGTACACCACACAGTACTGTTAAATGTCATAGGTAGTCATGAAGATGGTCTCTTTAACAGTTAGTGTTTTCTGTGAACAGGAAGGGGACAGTGAGGATGCTGAAGGCTTTGGGGGATCCGATGAATCCCAAACAGACCAACCGACCCCTTTCTCTCTGGACACAGGTGACATCTCTACATACGGAGAGGACTGTCTCGTGCCTGAGCCTCACAAGGTAAGATGAGAGTAGAGATGTTGGGCTACTACACTACACTACACAGTTGTTATTATTAGTTTTTACTTCAGTTGTTTTGGGTGGATAATGCATGAATTAATTGTATTTGTTATTTGCTCTAGGTAAACACAATTGAGATAAACTATGCCAAGATGGCCAAGAAGATGGACATGAAGAAGCTGAAGACCACTATGTGGGGTCTCCTAACAGAGAGTCCTGAAAAACCAGCAAAGGTTTGTAATTGTACCTTTCTGAGCTTAGTAAAGCTCTTTTATTTTTATTTTTCAGTGTGTTTTTAGTTAAGTTTAGAAGTTACCCTTTTTTCTTAATTATTGCACATTTCTTGTGACTAGTTGATTTATATATATATTTTTAAATAACATACTTAAATGACCATATCTAGCAGGTGGACAGTGAGGACACGACGGAAGTACCTGGAGAAAAATCATTCAGCCAGTCTGTCAGGAATCTTGTACAAAGGTACAGTTTTTCAAAACTTGGCACTATGTATCTTTTCACTGTTCCTGCTCATGGAAGAAATACTATCTAAGGATCTACATTTTTCTTCCGTGTTCTGTACATACATTTCTCTTTTCTCTTTTTTTTTTTCCAGGCTTCCCTCCACCATGGCTACCAATCTCTCAGTTCCTTTGGCTTTTGTGGCACTTCTGCACTTGGCTAATGAGAAAGTGGGTACTTTCTGCTATATATGATTTCAAAAACTAATGTAGATGGAGGTCTGTTTAAATGTCAGTGTTGATTTAATATTAGCATGTTGTCTATTGTTTATAATTATGTGTCTTGCATTATTATGCATTGAATGTTTTGTAGCTTACATGAGGAAACATGTTTTACATATTTGTGATCTCCTGAATTATCACAACATTTGATTGCTGTAAATCTAAAAGCTCTTCTTTCCATCAACAGAACTTGGAGCTGCACAAGATTGACTGCATGACCGATATCATCATTAAACAAGGCCACTGAAAACTGATACAGAACTTTCATACAAAAATCTTTTTGTATCAAAATGTAAATGCAGATTCTTATGTTCTTCATGTCATGTAAAATACCTATCTGTGGCCAAAACAGTATAGTCAAGAGAAGGATGATGTCAGGATCATGTTAAAAAAGTTGTACAGGGAACTAGCACAGAATTGTTTTTCTGAGTGAAACTGAAAGTTGTCAAAAGCATGTACCAGGAAAAGAAAAAAAAAAAACGCAGGGTGCAGCATGAATAATGATTGCTTTGAAGATTGGCCTGTTTTAATAACTTGGCTTAGGTGCTTCAGTAATAGTAAATATTAAGTTACTGTTGTCAGTGTCCATTTTTTAAAAATGTTTTATTTAAATTGTAAAACTTCATTTTATAACTTGAGGTTTCTTTTAGATGTATGTTAGACGTGATTTTGAAAAATAAAAGTTATCAAAGTATTGTATAATTATTTATCTGTATATGTATTGTTTTATGTGTGGTGTTGTCATTTTGGAATTGTATGGTGCTCGAGATAAATACATGTAATGCTTGAGGCATTTAGGTGGAGCCAATTATTACTGGCGGAAGAAAAGAGTAGTTTCGTTCATAGGAGTCTAATCGTTTTACCCTAATAATGTTAAGACCACTACTTTGAAAACAATTTCATGACAAAGAACACTGAAAAAAAAAATCACATTAGCATTTTTAGAAAAGTCAGTGACTGGCCTTACGAGAACAATCTTGTCATACCTGCAGTGCAGAAATGTTGATGGCTTGATAAGAGTGCGCTCTCACCTTACAGGTGTTTATGCGTCACCAATCCAGCGCCCTCTTGAGGATGTTATGGGAAGTGGCGCTACAGAGGTGGACCAAAGCCAAGCAGCCAACTCATTCGCTGGAGGAAAAGACTGAATTAGAGACCAGGAAGTGTTGACGCGGTTTACATCTGTTGGTCATTCGAAGAAACAGTTACAAACATTTTAACTTTAAAGGATAAAGCGTAACATTTTTCACCCCCGTGGAGTAAATTAAAACACCAAACTGAAATCATGGGGTTGGCTGATCCAAATAGTACGGTAAGTTACGAAATTAACGATAGTCAGCAGCAGGTGATTATTGTTGCATCGCTTATTGAATTTAAAACTAACTAACCTGCTGTGTAAATCCAGTTCCTATCTGTGTCCATGTATATCATATTATTTTTTAGTTGTAGAAAAGTTTACGCTCGAGCAGGTTGATATTTTTTTTACATTTTAGTTTTACTGGTTGATGTGGGTTGGCGTAGGCTACTCAAAACAGGGCGAAGCTCGTTTTTCAAGTTATAGCCTACTTAGTTTCTGCTTTCCTGTTGAGTGTTAACGTCGCTAATTTGGTTAGGATTTCTAAAACAGATATGCTGTTTAGATGATACTTTTATACTTAAGCTTCGTCCAGTTTGCATTGCAACTTTCTTGTACAGATTTGTTTACACAGATGGATTGAATTTACCTTGAGCTGTGAAGCATAACCGGTTTACAAGGCACAACCGACTGTTGGTTAGTTAATGGTTAATTAATTTTAAATGGTTACTTAATTTAAACATGTTGTAACTACAGTTTATAAATTTGCTGATCACACGTCCCCTTTGACAGTTGAATTGAGCCATAAGTGTGAGATCCGCATGCCGGGTTGCTTCAAATGAAGTTGATCAACAGTCAAACATTTTTGTTTTTTAATAATTTAAAAAGTACCACAATACAAGACATCATTTCTGTTTTTTTATGTGAGACTGTGGTTAAAATAACGTTCGACTGGACGTTTAAAATTGTGATGTTTGTTCTTGAAAACATTGGGATGCTGGTATTAGAGGGACTTTAAGGTCACCAGCCAGTGACTTGAATAGAAAGGGTAAGACCTGTTTTTATACAGTCTATGGGTAGGGCAGGTAGTGACACAGCATTGCTTTTGGTTTCTTGGTAACACCTTTTGTTTATGAAGTTTCAGCTGTGCGAGAGAACTTAATGGTGTTTAACGTGGCTAAAAAAAAACACAATTTACTGTCCTGAGTACCCAAATGTCAAAATGAACAATGCAAAAGATGGTTATTGTTACAGTACTTTATTGGTGTTTCGATGTGTGAATGTGGTAAAGCTGTCTTGTTGCATCGCTGTTGTCAATATCATTGGTGTGATCTCACATCTAAAGGCATTACTGAGCACTGTTTTTCATAGAATGTATCGTAGTTCTTTTAATTGAGATCGATTATTTTATTGAATATAGAAATGGACAGCACTGTATAACAGTAATTACTGAATGTTTTTAATAGCATAAATCATTAATTTTCTTATATCAGAATGATTAAATTTAGCTCTCCGTATATTCATATGCATGTAAAAATCATACAAAGACGAGGTTTTGATGTTAATGCACACTTTTTTATGTGTATGTAAATGAGTGTATATTATGCAGTGTTTCACACATACACACATTATTTATATCATATTTTAGATCTCCTCATACCGAACAACTTTGCCTCAAGAACCACTGCTGTCAATAAAATCGTTCATTACATATTTGAGAACTAGTCTTAGTTTTATTGATCAACCTCAACAAAACCAGTGTATTACAAATCTCTGAATTCCCTAGATAAATAATTATCAAAACAATTTTGAACTTTGGTATTTGGATGGATATAACAGGGCAAGTAATTGTATGCACTTTATAACTTATGTTTATGGGCTTTTGCACAACAGAACTTTTTACAAACTTTCCAGATTTTCATAACTATGTATGCTTGGAGCCATTTAGATTTTTAATTCCTCTCAATGCAGGAGCCAAGAGAAGGAGAGTCTTCACAGGAGGTGGATCCAGTTAAATCTCTGCAGTCTCAAGTGGATGGGGTCAAGGATATTATGACCCAGAATGTAGATCGGATCCTGGCCCGTGGAGAAAGACTGGATGATCTGATGGGCAAATCTGAAGACCTGCAAGCTGGGGTGTGTCTTTCAGTACAAAAATATTACATATTACAGCTGTAATCCCAGCACACTGTTTTTGTAAAACTCTTGTGTTCACAAAAGCTGCATTTATTTGATAAAATAAATGTTTTCTATTGTAATATATATTTTATAAAGTAAATAATTATTTAATGGCAAAGCTGAATTTTCAGCATTCATTACTCCAGTCTTCAGTGTCACATGATCCTTCAGAAATCATTCTAATATGCTGATTTGGTGCTCGAGAAACATTAGGATACTTATCATTGTTAAAAATAGTTGCGCTTCCATTTATAATGAATAGAAAGTTCAAAAGAACAGCATTTATTCTAAATATTTTGTAACATTATACTTTACTGTATGTTGTGATCAATTTAACTTGCTGAATGTTACTTTCCCCAAACCTTTAACTGATAGGGTAATGTATGCAGCCATAGTGAGTCCCACACTAGTTGACATTGTACTGGTCTTTTTTCCTGCTTCTTAGGCCCAGAACTTCAAGCACACCTCTCAGAAGGTTGCTCGTGCCTACTGGTGGAAGAACGTGAAGCTGATTGTGGTTATTGTTGTGATAGTCCTCATCATTGTACTGATTGTCATATTCCTTGCTACTGGTGTGATCCCGACCAGTGCACCTGCACCCAAACCTCCCACTGTGAGACCACCATAAGATTTCTATCAGTTACAAACGCTCACACATACACATACAGATATATGCAACCATGTCCACACACCAACACAATTCATAACTCCAGGAATTCACACACATCATACACACACATACCTTTTATTTGCACATTTTGCTCATGTACCTTCATATCTCATGGTATCACACCACCTTATAATGAGTAGCTTCCATAATGACAGCTTCGAAACCTTGAAGTGGAGGATTTTAAAAAGTCTATAGACACATTGCTGTCTATTTTCATACTTCTCTCCTTCTGAAAGGTCAATCTAGTGGCCACTTCAGCTGTCTTTATGGTTCTCTAAAGCCGGATAAAATGCCACAACTGTAAAAGTACTTGCAATATTGTTCATAATGAAGGGACCCTTGAAATAGTCATATACTGGCATTGATCCAGCGAAGGTAATGGGTGAAAGTTCTATCTATTGAATTATGAAGTATATTTAAGACTTATATTAGATTACATAAGATGTTACTTGTAATTATGGAATACTTTTAGATCTTCAAGTGTCTCTATTTTGTATTTGATGGGTCACTGTCTTTGTGCTTTTGCCTACAATTATGTTATTTGTATAAGGTCAAACAAGAATGTGTTCTTACAACTGTTGCATTACCCAAACACACCATTTCATTGAGGAAATTATACAATTGTAAGATGTTTGGGTTAATTTTTCTGTCATAAATCTTTACTGAAAATTGGCAATGCCCCAAACTTCAAAACAGACAGATTTTCGTCCTATAGAATGAATTAACATTTTTTTAATGGAACAAGAGCACCTGAACAAGGTCATTTAGATAGGAATGATGGATATTTTCTGTGTCCTCATAAATCACTGCATTATATTTGACATGTAGTGTAACACTTGCACTGTACCGCATACAGTTAGTACTGTAATCAGAATTTGAGTGTACTGCATCAAAAGTTTGGCCTTGCACTGTTGGAGCTTAATAAAACCCAAGACGCATAACTTGTTCCTGTTTTGAAAACAGGAGGACTGTTTTAGAGTCTGTACTGTAATTTTCAGTTTGCGGTTTTTATTGAAAAATGCTAACACTTTTTACATGTCTCAATTCAGCCAATGAAATCACTTCTCTGAATGTTCTTGTTGGTTGATCTTAAATTAGTCTGCTGGGTAGCTTTATGCAGTTTGCTTTGGAGAGGTCAAGGCATTGGATGTCTATATGTAGTCAGAATGACTTAGACCAGGAGTGCCCAACCCTGCTCCTGGCGATCGACTGTCCTGCAAAGTTCAGCTCCAACCCTAATCAAACACACCTGAAGCAACTAATTAGGGTCTTCAGGATCACTTAAAAATGAAAGGCAGGTGTCTTTGATTAGAGTTGGAGCTAAACTTTCCAGGACAGTCGATCGCCAGGAGCAGGGTTGGGCACCCCTGACTTAGACTGTTCGAATGACTATATTATGCTGAGTCTTATTATGCTGTATCTCTTGTTGCTTCCATTAACAATTTACTGTATGTAAAAATAGGAGGTGTTTAAGCATTTCTGTTATTATAAACAAACCATTTAATCAAAGAAAGAAAAATTGATCAAGACATTGAATAATTTTTATCTACAAATAATTAAAAAACCCTTTAAGTGCCTTGAATTTGAGTCTTACTAGCATAAACAACCTGTAAGATCTGGGAAACCTAATATTTTGTAAATAAATATTTGATCTCTCAGTAAAACAGAGTATGACATGTTTTCTTCCTCTCATTTGATGTTATCATGTTATTGCACTAATGGTAAACAATTTTCTAACATTATTGCATGGGATTGTATTAATTTAGTATATCCACCAATTAGCAGTACATCTCTAGAGAGGGACAAAAAGCAAGTTTTGACCTTAGCTGATACGAAAGCCAAACGTAAACTTAAGTGGTGTACACAGCAATAGGAACATAATGTGTTTTTATGGTTAGAGGATTGTGTACTCTAGATTCTTATACACATCTCTACATGGTTAGAGAAGAGCAAAATGGTTAGAGAAAAGCAAGTACAGCCAGGCCTCAGCACGTTTTCCCCTATCTGTGATTTTATCTTGGTTTAACCCACACCATCTGCAAAAAACTTTTCCCTCCAGATTTTTGCGGTGTTTTCTATTAGCACAATTCGTGAAACTACTTCTTTCTTGGTGTTTAATGGCAGTTGGCATCCAAAAAGGTGTATTACTGTCACCTGCAGCCCATTAACTTGCTACTTAATACTTAAAGCAGCACTATGTAACTTTTTCTGTGTTCAAAATTTGCAAAATGTATATAATGAGCGAGTACATCATGAATTCATCTTCCAAACCGCGTTTTTGTCTTATTCCGAATCGCTACGGTACACTTATAAGTACTTATATTTGGATTATTGTAGCCCGGTCGGGTGGTCACCGCTGCGGAGTAACACATACCTGCGTGAATCGCCATAGACATAAATTTAGAGAAGTAGCTCCGGTTGGAATGTTCTTCCGCGGGATGTGTGCAGTTCTGTTTGTTAACCGCTAGAGCGCCAAAAGTTACATAGTGCTGCTTTAACGTCTTTCCAGTCCGGTTCTCTGTTAAAGATTGTGAATCGGTTCAACTGATTCTTTACAAAGAATCGATTCATAAAAGCAATGATTAGGCTAGTAGTATTCGCAAATCGGACACTGCCCTTTTGAGCCAGCTTGATTTGCTTTTTGTGAATATATAACAAATAATGTTATGCACTCACTTTAAAGTGCACATTTTGGTACACGGCCAAGAACAATAGCATACGTTACAGAGGCAGTATAGCAAATGAGGAGATGGACGTCAGGGTTGCCAGGTTTTCACAACAAAACCCGCCCAATTGCTACTCAAAACTAGCCCAATCGCGTTTCGAGGAAGGACCCCCCGGTAAAAATCGCATTCCGGTGGGGTAAAATACACGTTTTTGGTGGGGTTCCCCTGGCAAAATTCGCATTTTAGGGGCTAAATATCACGTTATTGGGGTCGCTTAAACCCGCGGACATGAAAATCAATCCGCGGCAACAGTGTTAAAGTAGCCCAATTGGCAACACTGACATTGGGCGTACAGTCAGTGAGAGTTACGCCCAGCAGATAAAGGGAGGCGCTTCCTTCCAGCAGCAGAGCAGACGACGACCAAAGCTTTGGAATAGTTGTGTAACGACGCGCTTGAAGTTTCAAGATACCGAGCTTGTATTATTTTCTCTTGTCAGCCGCTGGTTTCAGATGCAGTATATTCGGTGACAGTTTCTGGTGTATTAACAGCGACAGATTAAAACAATGGTAAGTTGTTTTGTCTTTGAAGCTTTACGTTCTTTTTGTTTCGTTTTGTGCTGGTGATCCTTACGCAGTCATTAGGTATTAAAAAAAAAAAAAACATGGACATGTGAGGGCAGAAGAACTTTTAAAGGCAATATGAAAGTGAAATTATACACTGACTTTGATTTTGATGACTAGACGATTATTGTTTTGACTGTCTATATATAGAATAGCAGCTTTCACTCAAACGTAATTTGAGGGATATGATACAGTACATAGGGACTAGTTGATTAGCATTGATTGCTTAAGTCAGACAACATTTAATTTAGTTTTTTACGAGTTGTCTGTCATTTGAATGTCATCCAGAAGGTCATTAACCCTTATTGTTGGTTCATCTCAGGTGGCTTGAAATGACAACATAAGAAGTGTTTAGTTGAAACACACAAGGGGATTTATAGTCTCAAGGAAATTCCATATTCATTATAGCAGTCAAAACGAGAGAGGAAGGAGGCAAAGAAAGGATGTAAAAAGATATGTGTATCCTGTAGTTCTGTTCATAATATGCAAAGAGTGATGAAAAACATGCTCTTCTGTTATAAGCTTTTGTTTGATACTTTGCTTCTACTATTTTAAAGGGGAAGATTTCTATACTATATCTCAACATATTACAATTGTATTTATTTACATATTTCTTTATTTATGCAATGTGTGGCCCATTTCATGGTTGTATTTTACTAAAATCTTGTCTCCCAAACTTCTTTACTCCAATCCATAAGATCTATATCACCATTTTGCTTTAGCACAGATATTTACGTATTTATTTATACACCAATATTTATTTATTTGTACAGTGTGTGTGTGTTTGGTCCATTTTATGTTTGTATTTTACAACATTCTTGTGTTCTGAAGTTGTGTTCTTTTTTTTTCTTTTTTTTAATTAATTTATTTATACACAGACATTAAATTATATACGTTTTGTTTCTTGTACAAATGTAAACAAAAATTCTTAAAATCAAACATTAAAAACAATTAATTGGTCTATTATTAGATGATAAATGTCTCTTAAAATTTCATGCTGGTAATATTGAAAAAAAACAATTATTCTCACTGCGCTACTATAGAGTTTAAATTCATATGAAGCATTCAGTGTCTACAAAACAATATATGGCTTTCTCCTTCCTTGTAAAACAAACTTATTTATTTTGATATTCCAAACACAATTATAATGTTAGTTGCAATTTACTATTTGTATTTAGCATTGTTTTTATCCTTGCTATTCCTATTAAAACAGACTTGTGACCTACTTTTAGGCCATGACACACCGGTTGAGAACCACTGTTCTATTGTGTACAGCTCTTACGTGAGATGGCATGAATAATAAGTGGTATTTCCTGTAAAATGAATAATTTCATTGATCTTTGTGTGACCGTTTCCTATCTATGATGGGCCACTCATCAACTAAACCTTGACCTCAAGTCACTTGCATCCTTCTGAGCACAAAGAGAGGAATTAACATTCTGACTCAGCTGATATACACGATGCTACTGTCAGGGAGGTGACGATCTCTAAATGGATCTCATGGATTTCGTGGATCTCAGCCATGTTGTTTTCACAAAGGCCTCATTGTGGGTTTTGATGCAATAGCTTGTTGAAATGCACAGTTTCTCTGTCTCTCCCCTGTGCTGATCCTTGTTAAACTGAGAGAGCAGAGGCACTGTTCCAGAATTCCATTCCCAGTGCTTATTGTAAACAGAACTCTAAGCCCAATATCATGGGAGGTGTCTAGGAAGTCTTCATTGCCATTTTTTGTTTTTAATGAGTCATTGATTGCATTTCTCTTCTGTTAAACATCTAATAGGACAATTTAGTCCCTCTTAGGGAAAATTATGTTATTGCAGAAATGTATTGATGATAATGTATGTTGTGTAAAGGATGTTTGCCAGTCATTCTGTTTACCAATATATCTATTTCATCTGTCTCCAGGAGAATGGGCAAAGCAGCCTCCGTCAGGCCCAGCAGGATGTGGAGGATATCAAAGTTATCATGCTGGATAACATAAACAAGGCTGACGAGCGTGCAGGAAAACTCGGGGAGCTTGAGGACAGAGCTGATAAACTACTTGTAAAGGTGGAACGTTTGTGACATCTGCTTTTTCTTGATATATAAACTATATAATACTATACTATAAACTATATAATAATATAAACTATATGATCATTTAATACATTATTTCTTTTATGCATTTAAAACTGCTTGACAAAAAGCATGCCCACTTATTTATGAGTTCTATGGTCCTATGATCTTGTTTTATGGTTTGTTGAGTTTTCTGATTAACATAAACTGGGTTTCTAGAATTGTAAGTGTTTCTAGGGAAAGCATGTCAAAGTCTATAAATAGTGTCTAGGTGGGGTGTACGGAAAAAAAAGTGTACAATTTGTATCCTGAGTTTAGTTTACTGTTAATTTTACAAAGCCATTTCCTTTTGTTATGAAATGAACAAAACTTGTGTAATAGTATAGCAGGCTGTTTGTGCAATACATGCCATGTGGTCAGGCAACAAGTTCACTTTGGTTTCATGTTTTATCACATGTAATATTAAATTATTTTAATGATTGTACTTATTTCTTTTCAGAGCGAACAATTCTCAAAGACCTCGACTAAGGTGAAACAGAAGAAGCGCTGGGAGAATATTAAGTACAAAGTGATAATAGCAGCAGTTGTAGCTGCAGTGTTGCTCGGCATTATTGTGGCTGTTGCTGTGAGCTTAAGCAGAGAGGACAGTAAAAACACACCCGAAGACACATCAGCACAAGCACCAGGAGATGGCTAGAAGATAAGCAGGCAGAGAAGAAGATGAGTGAACATAAGTTGTGTTTGAAATTCCTCAGAATACCCAGTAGCCCCCTCACTGCAGAACAAAGATCCAGGGGGCGGGGTTGGATCCACATCTAGGGGGTGGAGATGGGTAGGTTTAGGGGTGGAGATGGGTGGGTTTAGGGATCGGGGTGGAGACGGCTAGGTTTAGGTATATGTAAGGTGGGAGGAGTTGGATCTGGATCCAACTACGCCCCCTGGATCTTGTGTTCTGCAGTGAGGACCATCTCAGAATACCCCCTTGAAAGTCTTGCTTCTTGTACTTTTGTAAAAGTAAAGAAGAGGGAAGTTTCATAGATCAGTAAATGTACAAGCTAAATCTGTGATGCTACTTTCTATCAAGAGAATGCTAAACAATAATGTGGGTGATAAAAATGGTACCATTGTGTCACTATAATTTATGCTTTCATTTTTCAATGGTAACACACATAGTATGTGACATTAATGGTAACAGTTTACATGCATTCTTGTTGGACTAAACGTATTTTAGCCATAAATTAGATAATTCGGTGCCAAATGCGGGTTAAAGTGTAGCAGGGAAAATATGTTAGACTGCGTAGACTTTGTCAGGGAGTAGAGCATTGTTTATTAATCTTGTTTTTCAAAGAAAAAAAAAAGCTTTCTTCATTCTGTTTTTCATCAGTGAAAAGTGTGTGATGATCTCAAAAATGTCCTATGTGTACGGTTTTTCTCATATTAGTTACAGAAGAATAAAAGCCTGTTTCCCAGCCTTGGTACCCACAGCAGTACACATTTTCAATGTCTTCCTTATATGACAGACCCATTTCAGGTCTTGGAGTCTCTACTAATGAGCTGATGAGTTTAATCAGACGTGTTTGATTATGGAGACATGCAAAATGTGCATTATTGGGAGTAATCCAGAACCTGATTTGGGACACATTCTGTGACTTTGGCAGGTTTGTGCTACAACTTGTCTAAAGGTTTTGAAATGTATTATTATTATTATTATTATGACCGTTGTAACAACCATAGAAATTGAGGAGGGCATATTCCCTCAGAATTCATATTTGTCAGGGGGATATTTCTGTGAATTTTTCCAATATCCAGTTCTTAAAATGTTACATTTTGGTCCCCCTTAATCTTGAATAATTCCATCCTTAGCCATTACAAAGTAAAAGAAGATTAATACTGTAAAAGTAGTCATATGAGATAAACAGTCCAAAATTTGCTGCTAAAAACAGCTTTCTATGTGTGTGCGCGTGTATAAATGTTCCTTATGTAAATATACTGTATCTGACATTTTTTCTTTCCTCAATGTGTCTTTTATTTACTTCTGGATTATATTTGTTTCCTTTTATTATGCTTGTAAAGGTTTTATAATGACTTCGTGAGTTCACAGTGACGTGTCATGCAAGGTGTTATGCAAGACAGAATCAAGTTATGAGTACAATGTAATGAAATTAAGTTGATTATGATTTTAACAATCATAAATTATCGATTTAACCGTTTCCATGTGTGTAACTAAGTGAATATGAAGCTTGAGTTAGAAGGTAAAACGCCACCTGGTGGAATTTCGTTGAAGAGATATGATGGGAAAAGAGGTGGATGTGGACAGCAGAGAACATATCAAGGAATTTAAGCTACAGCTCGTACGAAAAGCAAATACACATGTGAAAAAAAATGACATGGGTCTAATTACATGACCATGGTTTTGAAATTGTACATTTATACGATTATAGATCTACTTTTTGCAGCGTGACTTAAATGTTAATTATGCAGAACATAAAAATACATTATGAGAGATTGTATATACGTTTCCTTCTTTTCTCTGATTCTAAAAACCAATGTGATTAAGAATAAAATGAATAAAACGTTCTGGAAACAACCGACAACAGTGCACGCGTGACGCGCATTGTTATTGTTGTTATTGCAACGTCAACTCACCAGAGGGGTATTGCACAAACGCAGGATATGGGATTAAGCTGGGATTTTCCAGTTATCCTGGTTGCATTTAGCCCTGACTCAGTTGCATGAAAGCAGGCTAAATTAAGCTAAATTATGTTACTATGGAGATTTATTCTTTGCAGCTAGCCTGCTCCAGAGCAGGTTAACAACCAGGCTAAAATTAATCCTAGTGATTTATCTGTTAGTTCAGCTGTCAATCCTACTAGAAATTAATGTGTTTTACAGTCACTCCATGGTCTTCTGTAAATATGTTGCATCATTTTAATTATCCTGCATTAAAATACTAGATATACTGTCATTCCTCTAAGTATGCCTATTTTAGTGTTATTATGAAGACTGTTCATATTGCTGTCAGAGGTTTGATGAATACATATATTATTGCAGTTGTTGAGAATCTAAGAAATGGCTGATGAAGTTGCAAAGGTGGTTTCATTTAAGTCCATGACGAGGTCAATATGTAGTATATATAGGCTTAAGTCCGATTAAGGTGTTTCCTCTTAACGATGGCGTGCCCTTTGTTGGATGATGTATAGACGAGGAAGTGTTAATACTCAGACATGAAAAGATTCAGGCATTCAGGCATGAAAGAGTCTTCCGGGACAGATCAGACCCGTTGGCCTTTGCAGACGAATATCTGACTGAGAGGTACAGATTCTCGGGTGATGGCATCCAATATCTGTGTAGGCTGCTGGGTCCAAAGATACAACACAGAACAATGCGGAGCCACGCTCTCACTGTCCCACAGGTGGTCTGTGTAGCGCTGCGATTCTTAGCAAGTGGTATGTTCCTTTATTCTGTTGGAGATGCTGAAAACCTCAATAAAGGCACTATTTGCCGCACGATAAGAAATGTTAGTCTAGCACTGAAATCACTTGCGCACATATTCATCACCTTCCCTGGCCACAGAAGATTCCACCACATCAAGGAGGAGTTCTACAAGATTGCAGGTAACACTAATTACAGATTACAACAAAAAAGTGTTACATTAGCACAGTCACAGTAGGAAACCCATTTTTTACAGCTTTCCCTAATGTCATTGGTGCAGTGGATTGCACCCATATCTGTATCAGACACCCCTCAGGGGCACATGAGGGAGACTGTTAACAGGAAATCGTTCCACAGTATCAACGTTCAGATAAGAATGATTTATGGTTACTGTCAGCTGCATAAATTATTTCTGTGCATTAAATGACCTTAATAGGTTACATGTTATTGTTACAGATGATCTGTGATGCTGACTGCCCTATCACAAATTTAGAGGCAAAGTGGCCTGGCTCGGTCCATGACTCCAGAGTCTTTCGGGCCAGTAGAATTTACCAGAGACTCTCACTAGGTAAGCCACCCCAATTTTTTTAAGCACCTTGGACATCATGTGTGTGTCAGAAGTTTTACTCTGCTAGTTGTAAGAATTATATTTTGTATTCTCAGGTGAGTTCTCTGGTGTGCTGCTAGGAGACAAAGGCTATGCCTGTGAGACATTCCTGTTGACCCCCCTTGCAGACCCCCAAACTCCAGCACAGCAGGCTTACAACCATGCCCATGCCAGAACGAGGGCTCGAATCGAAATGACCTTCGGCCTCCTGAAATCACGATTTCAGTGCCTGCACCACCTGAGGGTCTCCCCAGACAGGGCCTGTGACGTGACTGTTGCCTGCACAGTGCTGCACAATATTGCCAGCCTAAGAAAAGAAAGGGCTCCCAGAGTTGCTTTGGATATTGTCTGGGACAATGCTGCCATCTTCCCAGATAACATAAATGGTAGACTGGTCAGAGAACAATATATAGCAAATTATTTCAGTTAATTTTGTTTTGATTTCGCCTATCCTTTAATAAAGCATAATGTATGTCACTCTTTCATGTGTGCATGCATTTTGTTTGACATTAGTAGCACACACTGTGTGGTTATCTTCCCAAATTCTAGTTCCAATTCACTGGATCAATAACTATATAGTGTACTGGACATTAATGAAAAAGGTACGAGACCACAATGTTTTTGTATTTTTTTTATTTTGCTGTCATCACTTGTCAGCTTGGAGCTTTTGAGAGAAAAAATAACGATGATTAATACATTGTGCAGTCATGGTTGCAGTGTGAACTGAAATCACTTACTTCTCTCTAGTTTCTGGATTTCCAAGTCCAGTTTCCTCAGTGTCTTGCGTTTAATTTCCATCTCAAGGTCCATGTCCTGCAGCTTTCTCTTGTTCACTTCGATCTTGCCCTCTGCCAGCTCTATCTGTCTCTTAAGATGCATTGTGTAGAGACGTCTGACAGTTTGTGAATTCTGTAAAACACCTATCAATTAGCACAGCGGGATTTGTGCATAATGTAGGTTTACTTTAGGCAATACTCACTATGTTACTAGGCTGCTTATCAGGCTGCACAGTGTCTGGATCCTGTTAAAAATATATGTTCTATTAGAATCACATTGCTGACTACTTATCCATTATGGACTAAAAATGTACACAAAATTGACATGACACCTCAAGCCTTCTGGAGTCCAGCGACACCGTCTCATCATCGGCAGAAGTGCACTCCACTGCCGCAGATGTGCCTTCCCTCTGCCATATTCAATAGAACTTGTATTGATAGTTTTGACAGGATGTGCCAAGCCTATGATTTTAATAAAGAGTACTCACCGGCGGATCATAGTCTGGTGGCTCCAGAAGTGTAAGTGTGTTACCAGACACTGCAAGGGAAGGCAAAGTCAGACAGTCCACATAAAAAAAACTAAATATTTGATTGTTTTCCATGTGCAGTAGAATGGCAATAATGTACTTTGTATGAAGAGGCCAGTTTCTCTTGCTGGGCCAGAGTCAGTGACTGTCCCTCCCTGGATCCCTTCCATCACTGGCTTCCCTTTATTCAACTCCAGGGCCAGCTCCTCTGCTGTGGTGAAGTCTTGGTTTGGAGGGCCACCCCCCCGTGCCAGATACA